CATCGTTAAATCTTATCTTATAAAACCAGTGGAACTTCAAAATCGTTAAAATTCATGACTCTCGCCGCATTGCGCGGGTAGACAACTAGTCAATTTAACATAATGAAACCTTTTGAATAATAATAATAATAAATTTACTATTACATTTTATGAACGAAATGGTTTCACAGTTTCATCAAACACAAATCAACGTAATGTTAGATGAGACATTTGTCATTTTCATGTTATTGGTAGATAGATCTGTTTCATTTTGATGATGAAATTGTTTCATTGTTCACTAATTACACAAAATTTTCTTAGAAACCATGAAATGATTTCACTTTCTTCAATCACCCATTTCATCGGCCAACATAGTTTGATGAGTCATTTGTCATTTCACGCTATTAATAATGAAATTGATTCACTTTTCGCTAATTACACAGACTTTTCTTATCTTTTTTTAAATGGTTTCACTTTCTTCACGCACCCATATCATCATGCACCCATTTCATGTTGCTATCATTTCATCATGCACTCATTTCCTCATGCACCAATTTCATAATCATTTTCACTTACTCTATGCACCAATTTCACCATGTATGAAACCGGTTTCATCATGCACTCATTCAATAATCATTTTCACTTACTCCATGCACCAATTTCACCATTTATGAAACTGGTTTCATGAATATTTTTTTATTCAACTACTGATTTCATTGATTTATTACTCTAATAACTTACGATTTTCAGGAATATTGGCAATAATAAATCGAAACAAAATAATAACAAAATCCAATTTTTAATATTATAATTTAATTAAATATTTAAATGTTACCATTTATAAAATTTTCTTTATTATGTTGCATTAATTAAGATTTATTAATAACTTTCAAATTTAATAGAAAATAATGCAAAAGACCGATATATTTTTAATAATTAAATTTAATTAGAAAAAAATTGAATTTTCCTATTGATCGAAATTAATTTACATAGTTTCTAAAAATTGCACGGTTTTCATTTAAATATACCCCTCTCGCCCTCCCCCTCCCCCTCCCTCTCCCTCTCCCTCTCCCTCTCCCTCTCCCTCTCCCTATATATATATATATTTTTTTTTGAATATTTAGTGTATAATAATAGTGAAAAGAATTTCGAAAGGTTTAATTTTTATTTTGAAGAAAGGGATAAATATATATATATATATATATATTTTTTTT